AATTTTCAAAAGTAGTATTGAAGATTTCCTAATTATTTGTCTACCTGATAATGATTAATGGTTAAATTTTTGTTGTGGTTTAGAGTATTATAATAATATATATTCTGAAAATAATAATTACAGAATTCATGCCGGTTTACAGGCATGACCGGCTTTACATAGATAGTGTTTAATTTAAAAATTGTTTAGGTAGTATATTTTCCACACGTATAACAGCAATGAAAGGTGTCAGCCGGGAAAATTTATTTCTTTTTACGTGGACATCTTGGTGATGTATGTGCTGAGCTATAACAAATCGATCATAATCATCTACAACTAGAGAAAATAGTTTTGATCTCTCATCATAGTTTAAAACTATATGGTTGTAAGAGGTATACGATCGCTTTTAACTACTGATAATATTTCGAACTAGCAGGAGAGTACTTTCTTATCTCCAAATGCTCAACTAAACTGTCTTGAATCTATTGTGAACCTATAAATAATCCGAGCAGGAAAGTCAATGTTCACAGTATTCAAATCTGTGCTCTACAAATCTTTAGGTGGCCGAAATAACATTTTATTACATGTGAATTATCACAGTTCGATTGTAATAAAACAGTTATCTCATAAATAATACAATAGTTCACAAGTGATTAGAATACACTAAGTCAACTTATTTAACCCAATAGCAAACGATATAACAGGTGAAACTAAATACAAGACACAATAGTTCAGTTATCAAGTGAGATTTTTATGAATGTAAAATGAGAAGGAAATATATCACAATCAATGAGAATGTATCCATATATTTTTTTCACGGCATATATTTATATATAGACATTTTTTCATTACTGGTCCCAATAGAGGTAAAACCAAAAGAGATGAGCCAGTAAGAAAACAGCGAAAAAATTGTACTTAGACACTAGTAAAACTTGGAGAAATCGTCTTAGTGGACAAATTAATTATTGATTGATAAATAGAAGTAACAGGAAAAAAAGAAAACATTGGATAATAAGTGTCAGAAGTGATTACGTAATCATTTATATATGGGGTCATCTATTAAATATTACCGACCGCTTTTTATAAATAGAAGAACATCAGAGGCTAACCTCCCAAGACTAAAGTGAATTTCTAAAAAAATGAAAGTGGATTTACAAGTCAAATGACGATAATGAGACAACAAACTGTCCATTTAGAAATATGCACTTGTGTATATGCGATGACGTGTCAGTGGCTACAAGTCTTTATACACTATAAAAGTAATTTATAAAACTAAAATGGGCGTCAACAATTCAAAAATACAAGTAAACTGTAATTGTGATTAGATGAGAATTTTGTTTGACACATTAACAATCGAATAGTTATTAATTGTCTGTAGACAAACATCTAATTGTAGATAAAATCATAAATTGGATATTTTCTGGTTTCAGCTGGATTATCATTGTTCTTATTATTGAAGTTGAGGTTCTTATGGAACTGCTTGGAATAATAGTACTGCATTTAAGTACAGATGAAAATAAATAAAGCAGTTTTCTGTATGTGAAACGTAACTAAAACACAAACGAAAAGAGAGAGAAACAAAAAGAAATCAAACAATATGATGATGATGATGATGATAAAGTCAGACAATTGAAATGTGAGACATTAAAGAGGAAGAATGTATTTGTAAAATCTCAGCGAATGAATTTCCTTGAAAAAGCATGGACCAGATTGCCAGGCGAAACGTTGGATTTACTTCAAAATTCATTAGCTGGGATTTTATAAATACATTCTTCCTCTTTAATGTTTCACATTAACTCGGCGCCCAAATACTGTGAAACTATTCGATCAAATTTAGACGAAAGTTCTTATTTATTATTCTGCAATTAAAAATGTGCTTTAAAAGTGGTATAAGTTGTACCTGAAAATCTATATAAGTGCCGTTTCCTAATTTTTTGTGTCACCTTTAATTAGCAGTAAAGAGTAGAGGAAATAGTAGCGTCTGGTACTATGTCAAGCCCATACGGGTTATTCAAGCGTCGTAGAGACCAATTAGTTTATTCTTCTAGAGTCACATTTTGACCATGTCAATTATTCGCTTACAGCCTTGACTGTATTAATACGAGCGTATGTATGTGCACCGCTTACCATATTCATCACATGTCTTAAGCTTACCTTTGTCTAGCTATAAGTATTGAGTCACACTTGATCAAAACGAGTTGGCATGTTTGTCTTATCCGGTCAGCTTCTCTGCTTCATTTCCCTGATCGTCTGTCTGGGTCAACGAGTGTATGAAATAGACATATCCGAAATTCGTTCTCTCATTTGGATTATTTTATTCCGTTATTCTTTAATACGAATTAAGTCAGTAATTATATACGAGGGTTGGTAGCATGTATGTTTCGTTAACATCAACATTCGATCTATCTGGAGTCAGATCAACTGGCCACTAAAAAACAGTTCGCTTATGACAGGAAGTATTTACAGCCGGAATAACTTAATAACAAAAAATTAAATTACATCACTAAATGGATTGATATTAGGTAACGACATCCAGTAGTAATAAATTTATTAGATTCCGATGTGAATATGTGGTGTCGAATATCGATCAAATACTCTGAATTAATGGCACAAAGAAATTACAAGAGAATGGTATTATCGTAAATTATAGAGCATTTTCTTCTAAAAGAACCACAATTGATTTACTCACTATGAGTCAGGAGTATCTTTAATTTTAATGTTAACAAATCTTTTTTTACATGTTAATAAGAGATAATATATATAGTTATCAAAACAGATTCACATTGTAAAGAACGTAGATATAAAACATAGATTAAATCGATTATGATAACGGTGATAGTATTTCGGTATGCAGAAATTTCATTAAAAAGGAAACTGGAATCAGTATTTAGTGTTCTAATAAAAGTATCAATATCCAAATGTAAGGAAGCATCAAAAATCCTCAGAATTATAATTTAATTTGGAGAGACTAAAAGCCCGATAGTTATGAAATACACAGAAACTTATTGCCTAAAATATTCAATGCGTTTTATTCGCTGAGCTGGTTAGTTTACTAGTAAAGCTTTCATCGTCTTTCTCGACAATATTATCAGCATACACCTCAATAGAAAGTGAGACATTAGAATAACTCGCTTCTTATTGAAGAGTGTGATGATAATGTTGTTGCGAAAGACAATGAAAGCTTTACTAGTAAACTATGTAGCTCAGATAACATATTCAAATCCCTATCCTGAGCTATAAATATTGCCGTCATCTCACTTTGAGCATTCCATTACTTAATTACGGATCTATTTAATTTGAAGTTCATTATAAATTGAAAATTATTCAAAAAGTAGCAATGTGTTTTCATGAGTTTATAAATAATTCCATTAGAAATACAGACGACTTCAATCATATTAATCTCCTTAATTTGCCAGCTGATGCATACCAAATAGAACGAAACATGCGTCCTAGATTCCATTGCTAACCACCATCCATCTCTGCCTAATTCAGTTGTTCATGATTGATTTAGATGTGTTAAATATAGTAAATAATATACAGTTTACTAGATTACACAAAGAACCAGCCAGTTTTAAATTTTATCACAGTGGTTTTTATCCAAGCTATTTTAAGTATGAATATTAATATCTCCAATTATTGTCGTTCTGGATTTTTTGAAATCAAATTAAATTGTTACTGAATGTTCCGGCAGGTAAAATGTTTCATAGGATCGAAGAGAACTGAAAATGATGTGTAGTAGCTAAAGGCTCGTTTCTTTTATCCTATTTATTTTGCATCGCTTTACAGGAAACTTTTAATTTTTATAAATCAACAATTTCTTTCGAACTTTTATAGCAGAAATGAATAGTTCAGTTTAGAAATTTCTTTCAGGTACTCACATTCTTTAAACCGTCCTCTTTCATTTTACTTGTAGTGCTGAAGCTCCTCTCACAAACGCATACATAAAAGTCTGTACAGTTAAGCACTTCTGTAAATTTTTTCCCTTTTCAAATTACCACCAATTTTTACTTTGCAAAAAGAACTCATACCTCAAACCAAACTAATCCTGATTATTTTGGATTTCCTAACTTAGTATTCTTTTTTAAACCTATCTTATCAACCTTTGTTACTATTAATCTTCATCTCGTTACTAGGACTTCTATGGTTAATATATCTAATCTCTATAGCAACTCCATTTTAAGCGTTTTTAATGAGAATTATAATATTTGATTTTCTGCCCGCTTTTATGCTTCCTTGTTATTAAATGTGATGAATAAATAAACGTACTGTAGACCATCACTGTGAACGAGTTGAGTACGTTTTACTGACTGTAACCTTTTGAAAATGAAATCACCGCTGAAATGATCTTTTCACTTTCTAGTTTTATGACAAAATGGATACTTTCCATTTATAAACCTATTTAATGTTGCCTTTTTCTCTTCACATTTAAGAAGTTAGGTAATCAAAAGTGTTGAATAAGAATAAATGTGTATATCAATATAGAATTACCAGACAATGTTATTATGTCTATGAAGCGCAATGCACTGCACCAAAGAAATAAATAATTTTTTTCCGAAAATCGGATATTTCCATAATAATATATATGAGGATTGATACCTTGATATGGTTAAGTTCGCAGTCTGAAAAACCTTATTTATTTTTAGAAGACCAGGTTTTTACAGGCGAAAAATCATCGTTTTTCTATCCCCTATTGACTTCTTAACACTTGACATATTTGTTGCAGAGAATTGTTTAAATTATTTTTCCTTTTTTACTTGTTGACTGACTGTCTAATCATTGTTAAATTTTTCATTGTGAACTATGCATTTATACAAAACCATCTGTAAGAGAAAATAATTGATGGGGCTATGAGACTCGATAATATAAACATTTACTTCAAACCACTCTCATTTAAATTAACACATATATTGATCTTTGCACTAATCGGCACCTTGATATTGTTAAGACTTCATTGTCGGTCGAACACTATGGAATGCAAGCTTCCAATCTGTCAGTTTTTGAAAATGGTTTATCCATAGGATCAAATATAGTTGATAACTAGGTGTTTAAAAAACATGAGGAACTAAACGATATTATACGTAATAATCAGCCAGTATTGGAAAATTTCGTTTCGAATATCTAAACTGTAACATATTTAACATAAGATTAAAATCCTAAAAAAACACAAATTCATTTAAAGGTTCAGATGAGATTTGCAAGATATTTGAAGGTTATTCAGACAAGTGACGAGGGGATTATTAAGATACATTGGCTACAAATGTCCAAACTATTTTCAGTATGTTTGTTGAGGATATTGTTCACCAATTTTGGACATCTACACCAAGCGAATGGAGAATATTCACTATTCAACAATGAAATTCACTGCCTAAAGAAATTATTGTTTATTCTAAAATCATTTGTATTCATTCACCAGTCACAAACATATACTTCGCTTATAAGTATCGTTACCAAGGTTTGACTTAATTTGGAATAAATCGAGCATTGGGTAGACTGTTAATAGTAATGAAATTATGATACATGTGTCATGACCAGATGATTAGAAATTAGAATTTCTAGAAAGCGACGTATGCTCGTTATAAATAAATGAAAATATAGGATTAACTATGATACTCCGCTAGAAACGCACGATCTTACATACATTAAAAACTCATTTATTTAACTTCATAAAATAATAAAAACTGATCAGTACAGCATGCCTCCCTTTAAATCTAGCCTCTTGTAGTGCACTTAGATAAATATAAAGATATGCAGGTAATGTAAACCTTTACACAAGTCACTGTATATACACACAAACACACATAGATGCGCGAAACAGATATCCTCATTTATATAGTTCTACAATTCATATTTGATAAAATCAATTTGAACCGATATAAATAAATACATCCATATCCGGTCACAATAATTACTTTTACGATTGCAAAGAATAAATAAAAATAAAAATATCGAGATAGCTGGATTCAGTGAATAATTCACTCTAATGAAATTATGAAAATGAATAAAACTGAGAATTCTTAGGAATACACAATCGGCCAACAGAGAACCTTAACCTCATGAGTCAATAATTATTGATTATAATTACACCAATGTGATTAAGTAGAAGTTTAAAAAACCGTGCTAAATTATGAATTACCTAAACTTATAAATATGGATCAATAGACTGATGTACTCGCATAAAATCCTGAGAACTTTAAGTTCAGTCTCCAGTGATGTTAAAGATTTGTATTGCAAAAAATCCCTATCTTAAACAAAACGACTGTACAGTATCTATCATTAATCCATGTCTCATTGAATAATGTCAGTTCGGGATGAAATTTCAAGAAAATTATCATCATATTTGGCTTAGATGGGAGGGCAAAGATTTGTGGCTCAGGAAGAAAAATAATGAAGCCTCTACAATTAAGGTATTCAGACCATAGAAGCAACTTTACCAGAACCAGCTGACTATTGACAATTGTTTGTACTTATTAAGGAACTACTTTTTGTTTTTCATTTATAATTTGTTGATTATTACGTTCTGATTCCTATGTGGAGTCTCTTCTACCGCCTATGGAATCATTGTTACTTCGTAGAGGATATAATCTCATTGCATTAATGTTCAGTGTACCAACGTGGATGATATTTCTATTTTGATCAATTCAGACCAATTTTTTTGTAGTTTACTGGAAAGTACCCAATGTTTGTACATTTGGTGAGAAACATTATTATAGCATAATAATAATGAGTAAACCACAAGCCACCAAATTACTTTGGGTAATTGATTTCTAGAAAATACCAAAGCAGGAGTTTGAATTTACGTGTTGTTGGAATTGACTAGTCTCTTTGGGATGTGTATATCTTACTTGGATTGACCCAATATTGCCACTAAGTCATAATTAAGCCTTAAATATGACGAAACACGAGTTCTAGATTGCACCGTAAGTCACTATTCAATGTTACTGATTGGTATCTAATTTTTAGAAAGGCAGGAGTTCCTAATGTGAAATCTTACTGTACTATAGCAACAAGGATTCAGTGACTGATAGATACACCGAAAAACTCATCAAAGTAATTCAATTAAAAGTAAATTACTTGATAATAACTAATTAACTTGTATGACCTAGTCCTATAAACAGTCTAATAGGATGTAAAAAGTTCCGTTTCATAGTCTCAGACTGAGATCCAAGAATAGACGAGAACCAAGGTTTTAAACAAATGCAATTCCTTTCATGCTATAAAAAGATATCACTTAAAATTGATTATCAAAAATCTGACTGCTTTTTATTATAAGTACCGTTCTCGTTAGGTATCATGTTCAAAAATCCATCTTACTTCTCTTTGTAAAGTTGTAATACCTTATCTTGTATTACATTACATTTAGTTTTTCTATCTAACCTATATACTTATAATATCGAAAACCAATTACCAGTTTTTGAGATCTTTAAAATCTAATGTACTACTTAACATGTAATTTTTAAATCTGAATCCCTGAAACAATAAATGATAAGAACTAATAGAGAGAGATGCTTCAACTAAAGTGAAATACATATCTTACTACTTAAGGATTTTTACTAATTGCTTACATAACATTAATGGAAACAATTCGTCACATACACAAACACAATTTAATTATATAAACAATACAACCATTCACATTGATAAATGTGTATTAACCAACTAAAGTAAACATAATCATATATCTAATCTTACCAACCAAAACGTTTTCCAACTACACATTGCCATGTTCCACCATAACGTTTATCAAATTCTTGTTTAATATATTTAGCTATATCTCTATCATCTGTAAAACGTTCACATGCTGCTGCACAACAATCAACAGCTATACATTGCATAGATTCTGGCATATCAGTTGATTTGATTTTTGCACTATCCTGATGACTACTCATGATTTAATTCCAATTGAACACTTCGACTTCTTCACTTCAGTTATTTAATAGTGTTATCTTTTTTTCTTCTTTTGATTTAATAAGGTAAGCGGGCACGTGGATCTATTGATGAATGGATGAATAAGTAAATAGATAGATAGATTGATGGATAAACAGACAGACACAACTAACAAATTAGAATGTATGTGTATGAGTTTATCCATTGTGTTCGGTAATGATGACAGTAATGCATAAATTAATAATAGATCATTATCAAATAGGTTGAGTAACTACTTCTTCTTAAGTTTAATACATCGAATGTCTATTCCTTCAGAACATCTTGAACCAATAAGATTTGAGTCATATTTTATTATCTTCTAAGGATTAGTGATTAGTTTTGTAAAGTAGTGAGCGAGCGAGAGAGAGAGAGAGCAACAAAATTTTATTGAATGATAAACAATGAATGACCCAACAACAAAAATAATGGTGTTAACGTTTTTAAATTGGCTGATGTTTACAATTAGACACATATATTAATTTAAACGAATAAATCATTTATCATAGAGATAATAATTTTCAATGGGATAGTAGAACAAGACAAAATGTTGACCACTTAATTATGCTGTAAAAGTGATAAATAAAAATAAGTGAAAATTAATCATCTTCAAACTAATTGCTTCTAACTAGTTATCTAAAAATTCGGAATTAATGAGGGGGTTTTGCGGAGATTTCTAGATTTTCACGGTTTATACTGTTGAATCATCTCAATGTAAAATTCTATTACATATTTGGTTGTAAGCAGCTGACAAGAAACCTCGAAATATTATGAATTCATACTATTCTGCATCAATATTTGTTATTGCTTTATTTGAATCATGTTAGTTAGAATAACATTGACAACTAAGAATTATTTTGGTCAATTACATAAAATGTTAAGCTATATCGATGATTGAAGTAACGAATACGAAGAATCAGTTTGGTAGGATAGATCCTATTGACTTAGACTGTATGTAGTCAATGTATACGTAAATAATTTACGTCCAACTTTTCAAGAATGAATTTCCGACTAGAAGATTCACTTGTTTACATGGAATATACAGATGATATAGTCATGTTTGGTGAATACGTTGACAAAGTGTAGTTTCATGAGAACAACCTAACCATGTTTATGGTGTGATTCGCTGTTTAAATGCAGTGTTACTTCAGGACTTGAACTAATAATAAGAACTGGGTTAGTGAAGCATATTGACGAATTCACTTATCTCTGAAGACTCATCAGCCCTGGTGGTTTGATGAAATTCCCGTACAGATTCAAAAAACTCAGTTGGATTTAGCTAACTTGAGTCATCTATGGAGAGGATGAGATATCCGCCTGAAAGCAAAGGATAGATTAATTGCATAGCAGTCTGCTCTGAACAACTTCAATGTTGTGAACCGTGGCCCTTGAAAATAAAGAATATTTGTAGGTTACTGGTATCCTACTATAGATGCTTTTGAAGCACTGCTAGCGCAGACTGAGGCCTTTGATCGACCAATTTTGAGGTTAGAAACAGAGCACTACGCAGAGATAGCGAGTCAGCTGATGAGGTCATGAATCTTCATCAAGTGAGATGATTGAGACATGTATTACTTGTGTCCAACCGCCAACTACCTTGATGAGTGATGTTATCTGGTGTATTTGGTTGTAAGAAATCTAGAGGCATCCATAACAAAACTTTGCACTAGCCCATGCACTTTTTAACTGATGAACTGGGCTGTGTATTTAGGTCCAACCATTTGATCGGCTTCCACGAGATTACTGTAAAGAATTTTCGGAGATGACGATTGGTATGACTCGAGATCAATCCAAATGGCTTAAGTGTACCTACTCTTTGTCTTCCCTTTGGTCTATCTTATATTTTGTCTGCAAATTCACTTTTTATTCCCAAAGTATATTATCAATACCTAGGCTTTGCTTCGAACACTGATACTGTGACTACTTTTAGTAATACGGGACTTATCTTAATAACTTCATCTCACCGTGCTAATGTGGTGTAGCAACTTGAGCCAATGAACATATCTCCCACGTCCCAAGATGAGTATAACTGACTCAATGATGCAAACTATGTCGGAAACTGAAATAAATTGGATAAATCACTCGAATCAGGTTAATATCTTGTTTATTAAATAAGCAAACATAGAGGTTCTAACTGACTTTTCTCATTCTTTAAACCATGAAAGATAGTTTTCTAAAGATTTATTAACTTGATGTAGCATAGTACATAACGAATAGGATATTTAGAAAGCTTTTAAGGATACAAATTGCAAACAACTTGATTAACGTTTACAAGAATTTTATAATCAAAATACATAAATATCACTAGTCAGAAAAACTTAAAAGCTTCCTTGTCCGCAATTCTAATTTCTAATGGTTATTGTACTGAAAGTTAGATGTCGATTAAATTGAAACAGCACTAGCCTAAAAACAACTTCATGAATTGTTATGTTCAATAAATCATAGATATGCAATGTATAGTAATAAAATTAATTGGTTTAACTTACAGAAGATTAATTATTAAATTATTGGATAAATTCTGAAACATTTCGATTTTAAACGGTCAAGAGTTACAGGGTAATAGATTGATGCACAAACACGTATATGAGTATTTGAGCCATCAAGTATAGAATATAATAATACAGAGAAAAAGTAGAAATATAGCGTAGGCATTACACAGAGCTATCGACTAAATTTACAAACGACCAATATGTTATATGCTAATTACAAATAGCTAGTACGAGGCTTACCTGAACAGTTTCAGAGTAATACTTTGTCCCATCGATTATGAAATTCACCCATTTTTCAAAAAGCGTGTTAAATACATGCTCAAATAAAAGATACGGAGTGACGCTGTATATCATGTGTGTGCATGGGGGGAGATAAACGGGCCTGATTTTTGGATCTCAAAGATATTCTTTGGTGAATGATTTGTGGAATTAAAGTTCGACAACCGTTTACTTTTTATACAAAATCTGTTTACTGTGAGGAGAACTTTCACATCGAGTAATCCAGTTTTGTGAAAAGTCTTCACTCAGCCATACCATTTACTTCAAGTCACGCGATGAACTATAAAATATACACAATATTTCTCATTGTGATAATACACTGAACAGTTTTCCGACTCCTTTATGGGATAAGAACTTTCTTAAATGTGAAACGTCAAAGAAATTGAGAACAATAAGTAAATGTACACTAAGTAAGGAAAAGCGTTTTTTTTAAATAGTTTTACGAGAAAGAACATTTCAGTGAAAAACAAAAATATGTAAAAAAGCTTACAATTATAAATGATGTACAATACGTTAAAATATTTGAAACAACTATTTTCTACAGAAGAAATATGAAACTTCTTAAGCGTAAACAGACATATACGAGATTACAACATAAACGCATACCAAGATAAAATCTCTAACAGTTTGCGCTGAAAGAATAAAGTTGGTGTAAAAATAAGAACAGTGGCGCTATTACAGATACGAAACGATACAAACAAATAAAACTGAGGTTAAACAATGGATTTATCTAACTTATTATGGTCGATTCCAGCAATATTAACTAGTACCTTTAATTACAAATTAGTATAAATCCCACATATCCTGATAAACAAAATTCCTGTATTAATGTAATGCTTTGGTTCAGCTACCATCTTTTTGTAACATCAGTTTAATCTTAACACAATCACATGTCTAATTAGACAAGATTTTCACAACATATATATTTGTCAAATGCCTGAGGCATAAGTTCATAGATTGATCGATCGTTTACTATATAAGAGTATTGCATTAAAAGTACTTACTGTCATATGATTACAACCTTGTTCGCATTTAATGACACGAAATAAGAAGAATCGATAATCCAAGTTAATATATATTTCAATGAAAACGTCTTATCCCTTGAAAAGTCTTGAACAAATACTTTGGCAAAATATCAAGTGTATGCTAATATATATATATATATATATATATATATATATATATATATATATATATATATATATATATATGAACTATTCTGTTATTTGGTTAGGCGTATATCACTTATTATGTTTACATATTGGATGATTTTCACACAGATTTTGTGTATTAGCCAAAAGAACATTTATTGGAATTCTGTTAATCATACCGTCGATTAATTAAAAAAGAGAGATATTGAAATAATTTTAAAATATTAATTCTTCAGTGTACATTTAGTCATTAGCACTGTCTGTACCCATAAATGGTCACTTTTTCCTAAATTTGACCTGAAGCTATTGTCAGTAAAGTTGATCACAAATCTGTAACTAAAATAACTCAGTGATTCAGTCATACACAGTGTAAAACCTGACGCATATGTATATCGCGTCAAGTTATCACAAAGAGATGAAACTGTCAGAACGAATCCCATGGTGTAGGTAGTAACAGGTTTAGTGGCGATAGAAAAAACTAGGCATAACCGATAGAATTTGAGGGAATATGGATTAGTTGGATGAAGAAAATTTACAAGACAATTTAGAACATCTCGATCAAAGGGAAGACAAATAGTAAGTGCACATCCGCCACTACGAACGCCTTTGAGCCGTGTCACCTAAAGTCTAACCACTGGTTGTGATAATTACGCGGACATCGACCAAGTAGTCCGCATCTACCTGAATGGCTCAGTCCAATGATTAGTGTCCAAATGAACTGATGTCACATCTAGCTTTCACCCAACCTAAGAAACTACATAAATCGAGAATAACACAATTTTATGCTTTGATTTGGGTTGAGATAAGAGATATTAATTCGTTTTTTTTATTTTGAACAAAGATTTCAAACTTTTCTGAAAGGAACTCAGCTTCTATAAAAACCATCTTCTCACTAACAGTAGCCACATTTTGAATTTTTTAGACAAAAGTAAGATAATTTCAGTGTGATTCCTATTTATACATTGAAAACAGCTGCTCAGTAAATCGTTTTTGGCCAATTAAGCAGTTTATACTAACACCTAGCTATATATGATTAGCTTTAGAGATATTTTTCGTCACAGACTGACTTTATTTGACAAACTGTTAAAAACCAGGGTACAACTGGCGGACATTGTCAAAACAGTTAATGCCAACTACTCAAATAATCAAGAAACGAACCTGATAGAATATGTTGTAGAGTAACTAACTTTCCATAACAATCAGTGACGTTTACTTCGTCTACTCAGTATATTATTTTGTGTATGTCGGAAATGCACATAACACAGTGGATCAAGAAATCGTCGTCTTATGACAGCTATTGAAACACAGATCAGAACTAATGTTTTCAGTATTTAGAAACAGGAGAGCAGATACATAAGACAAGTATCTCTGTATACCCGTCATATTAAAGACTAGTATTTGAACGAAGAATATTCTTGTCGATAAATTCTCTTCAGGTTCTACAATTATATATCCAAATTAATAATCCGATAAATGGCCAGGTTAAGGGCAAAGTACATCGTTAAAAGCATGTGAATTTAGGATTATGACAACAAAATACAGTAAAATTGTTAATATTAATATGACTCATATAGAATGTTAACTTGAATCTGCGTATATGTTAAGTGAGATTTAAGATCCATGATCAGAATGAATATGGGTCAAGTAGGGTGATAGAAACTCCGCCTGCAGTCCCTCCGGGGGCTACTGCCGGTCCCAAGCCCGGATAAAGGAGGAGGGTTGGGCATGGGGTTAGCGTCCCCATCCCGTAGAAAACTAACTCGCTAAAAAAACGCTAACCAGAAAAAATTATTCAAACCTTTTAAACTCTGCCCTGGGAGTCAGAAGGTCTTCATTTAGAAGAATTATGACGCCTCATGATGAAAGCCGAATTCCTTCGGAAGTTACGAGGCCGATGCCCCTTCTGACAACCAGAGCGACCATTTATTTAGGTACATGGAATGTTCGTACAATGTGGGACACCGGGAGAGCCTTCCAAATTGCTGCAGAAATGAGAAGATACAACCTAGAGGTACTTGGGATCAGTGAAACACATTGGACACAAGTTGGACAACAACGACTAACTACAGGAGAGCTCCTGTTATACTCCGGCCATGAAGAAGAAAATGCACCACATACACAAGGAGTTGCATTGATGCTGTCCAAACAAGCGCAAAATGCACTTATAGGATGGGAATCTCATGGACCAAGGATCATCAAAGCCTCGTTCAAAACAAAGAAAGAGGGCATTTCAATGAACATCATCCAATGCTATGCGCCTACCAACGACTACAATGAAGACGCTAAAGATCAATTCTACAATAGGCTGCAGTCAATCGTCGAGAAGTGCCCAACAAAGGACCTGACCATTCTGATGGGAGATTTCAACGCCAAGGTTGGAACGGACAACACTGGATATGAAGACATCATGGGACGACACGGACTGGGAGAAAGAAACGAAAATGGTGAGAGATTTGCAAATCTATGTGCCTTCAATAAGCTGGTCATAGGCGGCACCATATTCCCACATAAACGCATACACAAAACCACATGGACTTCACCGGATCACTATACACAAAACCAAATCGACCATATTTGCATCAACAAAACGTTCAGGAGGACTATAGAGGACGTGAGAACCAAGAGAGGAGCTGATATAGCATCAGATCATCACTTGCTGGTCGCCAAGATGAAATTGAAACTCAAGAAGCACTGGACAACGGGGCGGACAATATCACAAAAGTTCAATACGGCCTTTCTTCAGGATACTAACAAACTCAACAAATTCAAGATAGTCCTCAGCAACAAGTTCCAGGCCTTTCATGATCTACTCAATGGAGAAGGAACTACTGTGGAGAGCAACTGGAAGGGGATCAAAGAGGCAATCACTTCAACATGTCATGAGGTCCTGGGTCACAAGAAGCACCATCACAAGGAATGGATCACTGTTGATACACTGGATAAGATTCAAGAAAGAAGGAACAAGAAGGCAGCAATCAATACCAGTCGAACAAGAGCAGAAAAAGCCAAGGCACAAGCTGAATACACAGAAGTAAACAAACAAGTGAAGAGGAGCATCAGAACCGACAAACGTAAATATGTGGAAGATTTAGCAACGACGGCGGAAAAGGCTGCAAGAGAAGGAAACATGAGACAACTGTATGACACGACAAAGAAACTCTCTGGAAATCGCCGCAAACCAGAACGACCAGTGAAAAGCAAGGAAGGCGAGGTAATCACCAACATTGAAGAGCAACAAAACAGGTGGGTAGAACACTTCAAAGAACTCTTGAATCGACCAGCTCCACTGAACCCACCCAACATCGAAGCAGCACCCACGGACCTCCCAATCAATGTTGGCCCACCAACAATTGAAGAAATCAGCATGGCCATCAGACAAATCAAGAGTGGCAAAGCAGCAGGACCGGACAACATCCAGCAGAGGCACTAAAAGCAGACGTAGCGGCAACTGCAAGGATACTCCACATTCTCTTCAATAAGATTTGGGATGAGGAACAAGTACCAAAAGACTGGAAAGAAGGACTTCTGATCAAAATACCGAAGAAAGGCGATCTCAGCAACTGTGATAACTACAGGGGCATCACTCTTCTCTCAATACCGGGAAAAGTCTTCAACAGGGTATTGTTAAACAGGATGAAGGACTGCGTAGACGCCCAACTTCGTGACCAACAGGCAGGATTCCGTAAGGATAGATCGTGTACAGACCAAATCGCAACTCTACGGATCATTGTGGAACAATCAATTGAATGGAATTCATCACTCTACATCAACTTCATTGACTACGAAAAGGCATTTGATAGCGTGGACAGAACAACACTATGGAAACTTCTTCGACACTACGGCGTGCCTCAGAAGATAGTCAATATCATACAGAATTCATATGATGGATTACACTGCAAAATCGTGCATGGAGGACAGTTGACAAAGTCGTTCGAAGTGAAGACCGGTGTCAGGCAAGGTTGCTTACTCTCACCCTTTCTCTTTCTCCTGGTGATCGACTGGATCATGAAGACGTCAACGTCTGAAGGGAAGCGCGGGATACAATGGACATCTAGGATGCAGTTGGATGATCTAGACTTCGCAGACGATCTGGCCCTTCTATCCCAAACGCAACAACAGATGCAGGAGAAGACGACAGTGTGGCAGCAGCCTCAGCAGCAGTAGGTCTCAATATACACAAAGGGAAAAGCAGGATTCTCCGATACAACACAGAATGCACCAATCCAATCACAATTGACGGAGAAGATTTGGAAGATGTAAAAACCTTTACGTATTTGGGCAGCATCATTGATGAACAGGGTGGATCTGATGCAGATGTGAAGGCGCGGATCGGCAAAGCAAGAGCAGCATATTTACAACTGAGGAACATCTGGAACTCAAAGCAACTGTCAACCAACACCAAGGTCAGGATTTTCAATACAAATGTCAAGACAGTTCTACTGTATGGGGCAGAAACCTGGAGAACTACGAAAGCCATCATCCAGAAAATACAGGTGTTTATTAACAGTTGTCTACGCAAAATACTTCAGATCCGTTGGCCGGACACTATTAGCAACAACGTACTGTGGGAGAGAACAAACCAGATCCCAGCGGAGGAAGAAATCAGGAAGAAGCGCTGGAAGTGGATAGGACACACATTGAGGAAAGCACCCAACTGCGTCACAAGACAAGCCCTCACATGGAATCCTGAAGGCCAAAAGGAAAAGAGGAAGACCAAAGAACACATTACGCCGAGAAATGGAGATAGACATGAGAAAAATGAACAAGAATTGGATGGAACTAGAAAAGAAGGCCCAGGACAGAGTGGGTTGGAGAATGCTGGTCAGCGGCCTATGCTCCATTGGGAGTAACAGGCGTAAGTAAGTAAAGTAAGGGTGATAGAGAAATAATAGTGCAATTATAATTCGATCAAATAAGTAAGACGTAATACGGAGAGATGGATGCGAAGTGAATAAATCATGTATAGGGGAAATTAATGATGCTTAACCAATAATACGATTAATAATAATAATAATAATAATAATAATAATAATAATAATAATAATAGTAATAATAATAATAATAATACGAAGATTTATGAATAAATATAACGGGGACAATTACAATTGACTACGAAAGGTCATAGTCAAATTAGGTAATTCAATAGTTAAGATTACGATTGATTAATTGGCCTTGATGTTGGCCAGGGGAGGAGGAGTGGTTGAATATATTTCTTCTGTACGCGTAGCTCCGGTTTCTTCATCCAGATGGCTACTGCTTCAGCCGTTTGAAGGACTTTTAGTCTGACCAGTTTGGCAAAAATTACTTACATTATAAATAATTGAAAAAGATTGGTTTATACTGGTATTATGACCGGTTTGTACTAAATGGGCCAATACTGAGCTGTTCACCTTCTTCATCAAACCTTTGTTTAGCCACGCTGGAAGGTGTTCACGAGCACGAAAACGTAAATTCCCAGATCTTCGACCAATATAACTCGCTCCACAGGAGCAGTCGAACTGATAAATAAAAAATGAGGTGGTCATTCTAGGTAATTAATCTTTTAGCTTCGGTGTAACCATTGGGCGCGTAGAAAATACTAATCGCAGTTCTCAGGCGTTAAAAGACTTTTGTATTGTCCTACGTAATCTCTGAGTTAGTATTTCACTAGCCGCATCCCCTCTGAATTGTAGATACATGAACAGGGACTTCTTCTTCACTGTTTGTATTTCGCCTAATTTCGCATTCGTGATCATATATTTAATTATAAACTTTCTAGGGTAGCCATTCTCGCTGAGAGTATTATGCAAGGTGTTAAGCTCTTATTCGACTATATCAGCAGAACAGTCAGTCAGTAACAACGTAGAACTTCGTACGTACGTACATCAGTTCGAGTTGCCACACCACATTAGCATAGAGATGCAGTGGTCGATTCGAATCCCGTAGTGGTAGAGGTAATAAGAGTATAAGCAGTAATCGGGAAGATTAGTGTTTGGAGATGTTACTTAAAGAGTTTAATACAGTGAAATAGATTTGAGAGGAGAAAAAAAGAGACAAGGAGGAATAAGGAGATCAAAATTTGGGAGAACACAGAGAGTGGATGCACCTGCGCCATTGCAAACGATTTTGAGCCATATCATTAGGGTCACTAACCGTCGGTTGCTATCATCTCGCGCTCCCCAACCAGGTAGTCTACACCTACCGACATGACTCAGATAAACTTGTCAGTGACTTCATAAACTTGTGCCATGTTTTGGTCTGGCCGCCCCTAGCTTTCTTCCAATCTACTCCTATACCATGAAGCATCGCACGTCGAGGCAGTCGGTGGTTGGGCATACGTAACACGTGTCCCAGCCATCTCAACTGATGAAGTTTCACTACTTCATCAATTGATTTACCATCCTTACCTAGTACCCGTTTCCTAACAACTGAGTTACTTACTCGGTGGTCCCAGGATATACGAGCAATGTTTCGAAGACACCTATGATCAAATACTAGTAACCTACGAATATCCTTTACTCTTACCGGTCATGTTTCACTGCCATAAAGTAGGATGGAACGAACTGCTGTGCAGTAAACACGTCCTTTGGTTGATAGACGGATATCTCGCCTACGCCATAAATGACGCAAGTTGGCAAAAGCTAGTTGAGCCTTCTGTATCCGTGCTGAGATTTCGTCACACACTAAACTACAAGGACTGATGAGACTTCCATGATAAGTGAAGCGGTCGACACGCTCAACTACTTCACTCCCTATCACTAGTTCAGGTGTCGATGCAACCCAATCCTGAAGTAACGTTTCGCATTTCGAGAGTGAGAATCACATCCCAAACATGCTCGCATTGTTGCCTATAGTGGTCAGAAGACTCTGCATTTTGTCAGCGTCTTCACCAAATAGAACTATGTCATCAGCATATTCTAAGTCAACAAGTGAACCTCCCGGTAGAAGTTCAACCTCTGGAAATTTCGATGAGGAAAATGTTATCTCTAAAACTATGTCAATGACAAAGTTGAACAAGAATGGGGAGAGTGGACAGCCCTGACGAACACCACTTCAGGTAATCAATTCTGATGATAGTTCACCATAAGCTCTCACTCGACCAGTTGTGTTCGAGTAGAGAGCCTGTATAAGGTTAATGTACTTGTTTGGTACTCCTTTCAATGACAAACATTGCCATAGAACCTCACCATCAACAGAGTCAAATGCCGCTTTAAGGTCGAGAAATACTACGATTGTGAGGCGTCTGACCGTGTGTCTGTGTTCTAGAACATGACGTAGTGTGAATATCTGATCTATACAACCATGTCCAGGTCGAAAACCGGCCTGATTTTCTCTAGTCTGCTCTTCACGAGCTTTGGTGAGGCGTCGAAGTATTATTGAAGCTAATATTTTAGACACTATATTAGTCAAACTGATTCCTCTGTGATTGTCACAAGAGGACTTTTGTCCTTTCTTATAGACTGGCACAATCAGTGATTGAGACCAGTCAGATGGGATTACGTCCAGTTCCCAAATTCTACCTAAAACCTCAGTTAATCTCACTGCTGATACTGGACCACCATCCTTAAAAATCTCAGGAGTAAACCTATCAGGGCCTGCTGCTCTTCCTCGCTTCAGATTTCCTATGGCTTTTTCAACTTCGTAAAGAGACGGAGGACCTACATTAACTTGCCATTCAGGTTGACTGGAGATCGTGGGAAACCGAAGTGCGGCTGAAGGCCAATTGAACTGATCCCTGAAGTGTTCTGCCCATCGACCCAATCTCCTGGATTGAGAATGTATAATATGTCCATCTTTCTCTGAGATTGTTTCGCTAACAGTCGGTTTCCTAATACCGGTTTCCTTAACAAGTCTGAACAATTGTCTGCTATTACCTATTGCCGCTGCCTTTTCCATCTCTCTTGCTTTCGCTACCCACCACTGTTCACGATCATTGCGTAGACTATATCAGCAGAACATATAGTGAGAACACAGTAACTAAGGTTTTTGATCAAGTTTTGTTTGTACTGTAGAGGTACAAAGCTCAGGAAGTTCGTATACTGCCCAGTCCATGTACTTTTTCTGTGTAAGTTCCTTTTTAACGCTCTCTTAGTCACGAGAACGTTCAAAAAGGCTATTCGGCCATCACTTTCTTCTTCAAATGTAAACTGAATGGCTGGATGCACTTCATTAAATCGCCTAAGAACCTCTTGCGGCGACGTATAATCTTTACAGAGAATGAACGTGTCATTCATGTATCTAAAGTAAAATTTGAAGCTTTGAATAATCTTTTTTAGTGGACCATTTTCTAGTTTGGCTAGAAAAATATCAGCTAGTATAGGGCCCAGTGGTGAACCCATTGCAACACCATCTGTTTGTCTATATATTTCACCGTTGAACTTGAGATTCACATTCATGGTGCATTTGAGTAATAACTCTTTCACGATATTAATAGGGACAGTAGTTTCAATTTCATTTTCCATCAGCTGTTCACCTATATATTCTACAGTCTCTGAGTGGGACGTTTGTGAATAACGATGTTACATCCAATGACATCATCTTGAGTACCAACGTATTTGGATTTTGATTTTATCAACAAATTGGAGCACATCCTTAACACTATATTTTACAAGCTTTTCGTGTAGAGGTTTCAATACAGTTACCAACCATTTAGCTATAGTATGGTAAGGAGAGTTATGCATATCTAAAATAGGTCTTAATGGGATCCCCAGTTTGTGCACCGTTGGCAATCCATACAATCTCAGTAGATGGGTTTATCACAATCCTAAATTCACATGCTTTTAACGATGTACTTTGCCCTTAACCTGGCCATTTATCGGATTATTAATTTGGATATAATTGTAGAACCTGAAGAGAATTTATCGACAAGAATATTCTTCGTTCAAATACTAGTCTTTTAATATGACGGGGATCTTTAAACGATTAAAATGTTGTGAACAACCCATTGAGTTGAAAGTGCTCAATGAGCTCCTGAAGTCTAACGTAAAGTTCACTGAAACGAAAACTACTATGGAATTTATCAATAGGTGCATCGAATCAGGTCTATTTGAAGTTTGTCCTGATGATGTCCTTCAGAAGAACGATGAAAGCTCCACGACCAAACCATCCATCTCAGAGAACAAAACTCCACCAAAAAGGAACAATTATTTGAAGTTTGAGAATAAATCGGATGATAGTTATGGTTTATTTTACAAGTTGATAATAGACCAATAATATCCAGTATTAAGAAGGAAATGGAAAAAAGTAGTGAAACCATTAAAAATATCTGTTGTAACACATCGAATACTACAAAACTGCACAAACATAATAACGATTTGTTAAACGACAAAACCTGGTTCATGATCTGCATCGGATAATAACAATTCCAAGTGTGGGGTTTCACCAGCATTATGTACAGTTGATAAAAGATGACGAAAGTCTGGGATAAATCTTTCCCTGAAAAATCCTCTTTCCGTAACAGAATGCCCAGCTAAAATAATAGAAATACCACGAGAAACAGCCTCAAGACGATCATGATGAGATAATTCTCCAGTGATAAATAAATCGGCAGCAAATGAAGCTGGTGTTTGGCATAAAAGCGACCCACCGGAACCAGCACATACAGCAACTGTTTAATTGAACAGTCTATTGAATAACAACAACAATTATTATTATTATTATTATTATTATTATTATTATTATTGTGGTAAATAAATGTTATGATTGATAGTTAACAAAATGCCAGGAGGCTAAAGTAGGATTTCCAGGATGTTAAAAAGCATGAAATAATAAAAATAAATCCTCGTGAAAATGACTGAGATAAATTCCTTCTGTACTACATTTCTCATGCTTAAATACTAACTAAAACTGGCATTTTTTCCTATCATTTGGCTCGTATCTTTCTAATTTCATTTTTCTCTGTGCTAATATGACGTGCGGTAGATCGGACTAAAAAGCAATCGTACTAGGTCCTACATCAAATATGATTAAATGACAAACCTACAAGTATGAATAGGAGAAATCTTAGAATACATGCGCTTGTGCATCCCCACAACACATTCAAGATATTATCTCACAATGCACTGATCGCCAAAATCTATATTTGAACGCTTAGAGTCGCATGGATACAAACAATGATCCGTCATAAAATAAATGACAATCAATGAGTATATTTATTGTAATTAAAGGTAAATTTACAAAGAATAGTCTACAAGACCTTGAATTAAGGAATATTGACCTAATGAATTTAGAATATGTAAAACCTATTGAAACGTCAGTAAAGATGTGAAGTAAACACAGAATTTTGAAGTCCTATGAATGTCTTAGGGCATAAATTGTACACACAAAGTTGAATTCTGGCACACAACCGATCTGCTGATAGACTGATGTTAGCTACCCAGTCGAAGTCATACTACATGCTTGCTACACAATTGATCTTTACATCAGCCTATTCATCACATACTATACACTACATACAGTACTCACTATCTAAAAACGCCTCATATTTTACATGTGGTCTGATAAATTCGTGTGTATGAAATGTATCTCTACCTAATACGACTTTTAATTTCGCGTTGTCTAATGTGTCAAGTTCAATAATACGTACGAAATTGATCTTAGAGAATATTAACTTGGGATTGAATAAACACTAAAGTAATTCAGTTATCAGACGACAGTTGGTAAAATTCCATGACATGAAGAAATAATATGTTATGTCCTGCATAAGACAATAAGATATGGTCGATGAAGGCCGGCAACATGGAAAAGTTTGTTTGAGACCAGAGGTACCCTTTCAGTACTGTTGAGAGTAATATGAAAACTGAACTAATCACTCATGAAATAAGTGTATGGTTTTATTTGGGCCACGTAAATTAGGTGTCACAAATTATGAACATGAATTGACTGGGTTAGTCTGACTACAATTTACAAGTCTATCCATTATTTATTTATGCTTTAATATTTCCACTGTATACTCCGAAGGATAAAGGAACATTCTAAAGAGAAATGCAGTCGACCTAATAATCAGATTTTTACGAATAGAGAAGATTCGTGGTGAGGCTTTTTTTACATAGTGGATAGGAGAGGTGGTCTGTTTATGACACGGAGCCGTCGTCTAGAAGATAGTCGTAAATTACTAGCATCTGACAAGCTTTCACAAACCCCTGGTTGAGTTAGTGAAGATAACGCAACTCAGTAACTTAAAAAAATATCGTAATGGCTCAGAATAGAAATAAGTCGTGATCCGGTAGCAGCCTCAACTTTTTTATATCTCATTTTACCAGAATTTGTTTCCTATGGATAAATGGGCACTTTAAGTAATCAGAAGGTAGGTTTGATTATTCACTCATAAATCAATTACAAATATGATTGCATGAGTAGCATTTAGGATTTTTACTTGCTCTTTATATACAAAACTACGGAACAGGTGACTTAGAAAAATCTAAGCAATATCAATGTACAACAAGGAAATGCAGGAAAAAGGATTAAAAAAATATTTAAAACTATGGGTTAAATAGGAGTGAAGAGGAGAAAAAGCTGAAACAGAACATGAGCATTACGCAGATTAGGTGTAATAACATCAATTATCTACTTACAACCTATAACACCTCCCCTTCATACTAACCTGTGATCGCAAACACGATGAAAATAAGAAGCATGTACTTGATGTCGGTGAGAACTACTCTTGTTAGATGTTCTCACATGGTCACGTGTATACAACCAATGCCAGGGAAGTCCTACTCACTGCCTTCTCGCTGCGAGGGTGTTGTTTACGAAATCGAGAGGAAAAAAAGCAAATATCCGGCACTTTAACCGGGTTGGTGGATATAGAGGACCCACCTAGGGGAGTTGGAAAACCCTGATTCCGAACCGGTAGTGCATATGGGCTCCAGTATCCTGAGGGAACAAATGGCGTATGAACCCATTGTTGGTCACCGGCTACCATGGGTCTGCATCTCTTGACGTTGCTCCACTGCCTTGTGGATCAGACCTTCAGGTCGAAGGCTCTAGGTGTGGCCTCCCTAAGAAAACACATGCTCCGGTCTAGGCATCCGAGCAGTACCACAGCCCACACACAAATCAAGTGACTTGTGTAGTGAATATGTATTCGGTGCCCAATTTGTACCAATATTTCTGTTCAAATAAATAAATAAAACTGGTGGTCAAGTGCAATTTTCTTTTGTAAAGATACAAACAGAAATTCCATACATTTATATAAAAGGCAACAGCAGTTTTACATATGATTCTACAGTAGAATAATGTTGGAACTAACATTAAGTTGTGGAAGTGAACGTCTTACAAGTCAAGTTTTAATCTAGTTCTAGTCACCAGGGAATAAAGGACTGAAGTTTACAAGTTAGAAATGTGTCCGATATTTCAATGAACATAGTTCACATGTCACAAGAAAAACTTAGGATATTCGAACTGATAAAGGCTACTTTTGCTTCAAGGACAAACAAAACGTAGGATTAAGGACGATTAAGAACTAAGACCTGACAAATGTTCGCATAACAAATGTCTTACACTACTTATTAATAATGAGTAACGCGACCAAGTGCATTGAAAATATATTGGTGTCAAAGACTGCGAAACATTCAAATATGATTTCATGCTTGAAGTCCTAGTAGAGCCGATCCCCAAATACCTTTTCATTACCATTTGTTATGACTAAATGATTATATAAATGTCTTTCTAAGTACCATCTAAATAAAGGTACTATCGTCATAGTCTATTCTATCTACATAACGTAGCGCATATAAATTCCCGTCTAACTTAATATAACTCACAAAGATAAAAGTTACACAAATGGAACACAACAAAATTTATTTAGAAGTATTTCACAAGCTTTCATGGAGGAACTCATGAAATATATCGGAATCAGATATGTTCAGAGCTTAAATACTATGATTTATATTGGAAGTCTGATCAGCCCTAATGGGTTGGTGTCTGACGAAATCTCCGTATGAATTCAAAAAGCTCGTTTGGCTTTTGCCAACTTACGTCACCTATGACGAAGGCGAGATATCCATCTATCGATTAAGCGACGAGTATGCTGCGCGGCAGTTCATCCTGTTATACTTGACGACTGGGAAACATGGCCATTAAGAGTAGAAGATATCCGTAAGCTACTAGTATTTGACCACAGATGTCTTTGAAATATTGCTCGCATCTGCTGAGATCACCAGATAAGTTATAGTGAGGTTAGACACAGGGTATTAGGGAATGATGGTAACTCACTTGATGAAGTTGTGAATCTTCACCGACTGAGATGGTTGGGCCACATGTTACGTATGCCCGAACACCGATTACCACGAAGCGCAATGCTGATTAGTGTTGGGGATGGTTGAAAGAAAGTTAGGGGCGGCCAAACCAAAACGCGGCATCAGTGCTTGAAGTCACTAACTTCTGGTCTTAGCCATGTTGATAGATGCAGAATACCTGGTTGGGGTCCGCGTGACTATCGTAACCAATGATTGGAGACTCTGGGTGACGTGACTCAAAATCCATCACAATGGCGTGATGGATTAAAAATTGCTTTATCTCTTTTTTTCTACCAACTAATTCTTTCGTCCTGTACTATATCCTGATACACAATCTTTTATATATTACCACCATTGAATTAACTACTTCTATGAATTCGGTGTTCATCTTGTCGTGCTAATGAGGTATGGCAACTCGGAACAATGCATATATGTACCTGGTCTTACGTTGTAGCTGACTGGCTAAATACTATGATAAAAGAGAAAGTAGTTTTATTTACACATAGGTGAACAGTACGCATTTTTCTACGATAGAATTTCGATATTAACAGTAGGCTTTCATGTTTGTATTGTAAAATTGGTAAAATTGTGCCTGAACAAAGGATATCGACGTGTGGTAATAGCGAGTCTTATTAGGTAATGACACAAGTACTGAATCATATCAACAAGATGGAAATTAATTCTCAAAACCAACGAAGATAGAATGAACTACAGAAATAGTTCAGCCCAAATAATTTAATCAGCACAAATGATATACTATCGGTCTTTAATATATTGAGTCAGCTAGATGGGTTACATGATGGACATCAAGACAAATATCAAGAAAAGATTATGCGTATACTTATGTTTGTTGATGCTCTAGTCAAAAGTAAATCTGAGCCTCGTATGCATCTGTCAATAAATTATCTTAAAATTCTTCATGCAGCTGTTAATAATATATAAGATATCAAAACATGGTAATCATCTTATATTACTATTGTTACTCAAATTTCCTAGTAGTTGATTCTTTGATACAGCATTATATCATGCATTGTTATATCGAATCATATTAAGTAGGCAGCACCAGATTATTTATTTATTTGAATACATAAATATTGTTACAAGAGGGCACCAAATATATATGCGCCACACAAAATAATGAGAATTTGAAGAGAAAAAACAGAACAATAACGACCACAGATTAGTGTAAGGTAGTGTAATAATAATAATAATAATAATAATAATAATAATAATAATAATAATAATATAATATAATGATAATGATAATAATAATAATAATAATGGGGGGAACGGAAAGGCACAATCAGACCAAATTTTTCAGTTAAGGAAGAGACAACCATTTTTTATGAAAAAGGTAAAAGAAGGTTACAGCAGGATCGCCACTGGCTTCTATTCCGAGCCATATCTGATAACGCCACTAGCCACTGTGTCGCACCATCTCTCGGAGCCCAGCCACGGAGTCGTGAAGGACCAGCACAGGCCAGCCCTTTGCAGCTTTCTTTCATACCACGACACCATATTATAGCACTGACCACCTCTCCGCTTTTTCCAACTAGTCCCAGTGTCAGCAAATAATGTACAACGTGGAATTCTCTGGGACGACATTCGTAGAACATGTCCAAGCCACCGAAGTCGATGTTTCAAGATGGTGACACCAATTGCATTATCGTCTCTGTGACCGAACACACGATGCCGAACCTCTGCATTACTACTAACATGGTGTTGCCACTGGATGTCAGCAATCCTCCGGAGACAACGATGATCGAACACAGAGAGTCGTCTAACGTCCTCAACTCGGAGAGGCCAGGTTTCACAAGAGTAGAGCAAAACTGCTCTCACCGAAGCGTTGTAGATCCGACCTTTTACAACCAGACTAACATCACGAAGGTGCCAAAGGTGGCCCAGATTGGCATAAGCCGCTCTGGCTTTCATTATATGTGAATCGATCTCATCACTCACGCCACCACCAGCACTCATACAGCTACCCAGATACACGAACTTCTCGACTACTTCTATCTGCTCACCATCCAGAGTGAGTACAGGATTAGAATCCTGCCAGTCTTGTAGAAGTACTTTGCACTTCGAAGGTGCAAAGCACATACCATACCTACGGACATTGATTGCCAACTGATTAAGTGCGTAATCAGTGGTCACCGGCTACCATGGGACTGCATCTCCTTACGATGCTCCACTGCCTTGTGAGTTAGACCTTCAGGTCAAAGGTTTGAGATGTGACCCTCTAAGAAAACCACCTACTTCGGTCTGGGCACTCGGGCAGTATCACAGCCCACACACAAATATAATGAAAATGATGATATTTACTGAAAACTCTATTCTCGCCACCACCAGCACCAGAAGCGACACAAGTTAATAGACTGAACTATGAGCTTAAATCATATTGTGGACCTATTAAACAGAGACAACTCAGCGAACTAGCTAGTGAGGTTAATAATGAATTATTTCATCCCGTGAGATCTGTTGAAGCATGAAAGGTCAGTAGTAAAATGTTAGTTCCCATTTGTTCGATATATAACACGTGGCTTGTAAAAACAACTATTACAACAATCCGCATAAAATCCAACGATAAGCATTGCGACATGGTCCTTTAATCAATGGAATTAAAGACGATAGGTATATTTAAGTTCGACTTGTATGGTACCTTTATGTACACACTTATTACAGCCCAAAAAAGAGTAGCCTGCTTTCTATCAAACCTGAAAACTCTAATTTTCTCGATTCCGGTTTTTTCATAGCAAATCAGTTATTGGATAACCAGAAGTGCCCTCGACAATTACTTTATATAAACGTTTACAAAAATGAAATTAGGAGAAATTTAGATAAAACACTTATCTTACCGAGGGTTTTGCCTAGTCCTGGGGCTACAGTTAAATGCCCTATGTTTAGAAACTTTTGTAGGCAGCGATAATTGCTTTTAGATGAACTGGGAACTGTAGAGTAACCAGTCTGCCACATCCTTCTTCACTTGTCTACAACATATTCTTTTGATAGTGCATATACCTTTTGAATATTTTCGATGCTAACAACTGAGATTTTAAGCTCCTCCGTCACATCTACAACACGTTTTAAATCGGACTCGGTACAAGTAACAATGGCTGTTATTCCAGCATTACTGATCATGATAATGTGATGAAAAAATGACTTACCTCTTAATATTAGTTGTACACACTCCTACTCCTGTGGAAATGACGAAGTCTCCGAAATTTTCGTCCATAACAACGGTCAACCTGGATAAATTTTGAGTAATTGGTGATCGAGATAAACTCTCTCTCCGATTGACAGCTATAGAACAATATTAAGTTAGTCTGAATTTACCTAATGGTTCTAAAAGCCAATCGTTGATACCTCCAAGTTTTGCATCAAGCCCGGTGTGTGGTGAGAATACACCGATTTTGTTTTCTATACAACGTACAACTATACGCTCTTTCCAATGCTGTTGCGTAAGCTTTTTAAGAGGAGAGAAAATTGGTGGATGGTATGAAACGATCAGACCACATTTTTGAGAAATCGCCTCATCGAGTACTTGTTCTGTTAAATCATTTGTGATAAAAATCCTGTCCACATGGTGTGGAATAGAAGGTTCTATTAGGAGACCGACATTATCCCACTTTTCGGCCAAGTGTGGTAAGCAGTATGCATCCAACAATTTAACAATTTTGGTAAGCTCCATTCCTTTATGGGCAAACTTTGAAAGGAACATGTATTAACAAAACCGAGAACAGGATGACAAACTAGCAATAAAAATGAGCAAATTACTTTACAATAAAAATCGCAAAAGTCAAGATGAGGTACACAAAACTGGAAAGTAGAGGTAACAGCAAAATTATTTCGCGAAAAAAAATTTTGGAAGGGTATTTGCCTCAATATTGGCAAAATAACAGAAGGTAAACATATTTTAATGCTTTTATTTATAAGAGTGAAGATATAGATTTTCAACGGTTTGGAGAATTAAATGCCTAAAACTCACGCCAAGATGCGGAATTAGGCTGCCTATAAAATCAATTCAGTCGTTTATAATAAGTAAAATACGACGAAGACATATATACCTCTAAAACAATACTTTTAAATAATACGGAGGCTAAGCTTGAGGATATTTTAAAAAGTGTGAAAAGCGTTAACTCTTCTCACGTCATAGATTAATTGGTAAATCATGTGTGTATTTCGCACAAGTCTACAGTTATAAATCTCTCCAAACGAAATAAAGTACACAGGACGATCCAGTTTTTCCGAAAAAATGTAGCACTGCTTTTATCACATAAATGTGGCTAGTATATATATATATATATATATATATATATATATATATATATATATATATATATATATATATATATATATATATATATTAGATGAGTAAATGGAAAATACACTAAGTAATGAAACACAGGATATGGCTCAACGAAGACTGATTTCAAACGATTACCACGTAGAATGATACGCAAAGTTCTACATGGATACTTAGTGAGGTCTCTCACACCGACAAGCCGTTGTCACCTCAAACCGCCTGAGGCGACCTTGGTATTAACATGTCTTATCTTTTCCTTCCGTCTAGGACTGATAATAAGAGGACGTTCGAAGAAAGTTGAAAAACAGAAATCAAATCGTTTACGTCTGGAGTTTCGTTTTTCGCATCGAGTAGTGAATTACTGGAATTCCCTAACGGGACACGTAATATCAGCAACTTCTGTTGATATATTCAAAACGAGATGGGACCTCCACAGCATTGCAAACTGCAAGGATTATTATAGGTGGATAGACCCTCCATCCTTATTACTTGAGGTAGCTACCGAGGTTTCCATCCTCAAACGGCCTCGGCACCTTCACATTGATCCTGACAGAAACACCAGATGTAAAGAAGGCAATACGGGGAAGGGACGCATATCTGCTATGTCACAAAGTATTTGCATTATATATATATACATATATATATATATAGCCTTATGTCGTCTGTTTGCACCTATCAGTGTGTATTGCTTTTAGACAAGTCATATCATATCCGACATTTATCTGACACTTCTTCGGATTACCTCTTTTTGAATTTTCATAAATCTCACTATGCTAACAACAATCTTTCATGATAAGCCTATATCGTCCCCGCCATGCTCCCAACAGATATGTCTTTTTGCGAGGTTTTTAAATCCTCTTATTCCACATCAACTTTCACATTAACGTTGCTTACGCATAGGTTTCATTATATCATCTCTAGGCCAGTCGTATTTAACAAGTATCTGAACTGCGTAATGCATTTTGCACCAAACCTATCATGGCTCTTACGGCTAATGAGACTCAACTCCGGTTCGTAACTCGACATTAAGCAAGCACGATTTAAGAACGGAAGGTTCGGCACCCAACGTGGTTTGTATTTCTCGAACTTTTGATGTATCCCTATGTGGCAAAAGAACCATTTTTTGTCAAAAGAATCTTTCCTGAGCCTAACGTTCAGTAGATTACTTTTCTTCTTGACTTTAATCCCAACTACTAGCTAACTATGGATTTACCTCAGCTTATAATGCGCGCTCCACAGTTTTCCACACCAAGGTTATCTTTAGTAGATCCTAACATTTTATACCACTGGCTTTTATCTATTTCAGGTACATTTATTTCACGGTCGTGAACCACTGAAAGGATTAATATAAACACCTATATTTAATAATGTAAGCCATCTGGAAGCAGTTGTAGCGTAAATAAAGCCCCAAAACAAATGGTTTTGACATTTGATACTGACCTCATTAGTTTTACCGGACTCACTCAACTGAAGGTACTCGGTCAAACATTCTCACCAGACGACGCGTGGGTAAATCCTGCTACTCATCCCTCGCAACTGTTAGCCAGAATAGATTAAACGTTTCTCGACATATCGATAGCCTACCAAATATATTTTAGAACTCCTTCAATTCTGACTTCTGATATGAATGGGTTGACATACCGCCGCCACCTTAACTACTCTTTTCATCACCCTAGACACCTTTTAAGTTATTTTTATGGGCCAGTAATTTTCAATATTTGCCTCAGGACCTGTTTTAATTTTGGGAATGATATGTTTATTATTCCCGGCAGTAAGATAACACTCTGAAGAGAGTGATATCACAAGTAGTTTGAGAAGAAAAATACACTTATCACCACCTCCACATTTAAGCGCTCTTCCCGGAATACTATCTGTTTCATCCGTATCGGGGTATTTCAATGTATTAATTTTGTACATTGAAGTCTACATTAGTAATTTCACAGGGAGGTACTGGGATTGGTTCTGAATCATTTAGCGGTTTTTCGTTAGTTAATGAGAAACAAAATTGTTCACTAAATAGTTCCGTAACAAGTTTAAGATCTTCGTATATTTGTTTGTCTTTAATAAATATGTTCCACCTCGATTAGAACGTTTAAGTTTTTTTGAACGAGTATGGTGAGTGCTGAGGAGTTACTATTAAGTTCGACAGCATGCTTTTCCTGTGCAACTGTTTTGTGTGTACGTATCGCCTCTATTCGGACCAATATTCCTGTCATCGTTACTAAGGAGCGAAAGTCATTTAAGTTGTGGAATCGAGTACAATGTCTTTAAAGACGTCTTCCTGTACCGACCGGTATATACAGATCTTTAGAGAACATAGGTCTCCAGTATTCTGAAATTGCGATTTTGTTGATGATATTTCTGATGTTGTAATAAAATATATTGGTTAGTGTGTCTGTATTGTATGAAGTAAATAATAATAATAATAATGGTAATTTATTCTCAAATAACAGTTTGTTACATGAGGCATGCCAGTTTACAGGCAAGATCAAGTTTTTACAAATGATACAATACCCACTGTAGTAAATTACTAAGCTGGGTTGATAATTTAAAAGATATGAATGTGGATGGTTTTAGTCAGTATATCCGTTGGGGAGCTTCATGAAAGTCACGTTGCGAATGTGCAACTGATGGTCAAGGATAGGTCCATTGAAGATATTAGCTTCTAGAAATCGAAACCTTATGTCCCTTTGGAATATCCAAGGCCTTAAGGGTGGTGCAGGATGAAGTCACTCGTTCCATATCTCAAGGGGGCTGAAAGAGGGAGCAAGTAGAAGAAAGGACGAGAGGCAGAGTAGCCAATATTCATGAAGGAATGTTTAAGGTATGATTACTCAGTCTAATTTTCCTTTATTAAGGTATTTGTTAAGCAAGAGTATTTTAATAGGTTAAAGAAAATAAGTGTAAACAAAGTATGTAGCGGACATACAACTAACAAATGGAGGGGATTCAGAAAGGAGCTGAAAATATGAGCTTATGTGTGGTCATAAAATATAGTGCTAAAAAGTTATTTTGATATACAGTTGACTATCTTCCTTTTTTATCGAAGCTGTTGGAGCCCTTTTCATCTTTTTTTGTATTATTATTTTTTAGATATCATAGGGTCTTGAGTAGGCTTCGTATATTATCGAATTGTCTAGTTTGCCTGTAATAGGATTACTGGGTGGGAAGTGAAACCAATTCAACGTTCGTAACACGATTTATTGAGGCATTTTGCATGATAAATCAGCATTAATACTTTAAGTTCGTAACATCCCACTAAGCCATAAGGAGCCGTAATTAAACAAAATGTTCTGCCCTACAGACATGGGTGGATTGAAGTTGTCTCCCCACCGCCATGTTTGCTGGTCAGTAACGCCACCCTCCCTCCTTTTGTGATGTTAGGCTCTCTTACGTTTGTGGCAAGTATGAATACTGCTTTAACCAAAGCCCATAGTTGGAATACACTGCCTCTACTAGGTCCATGTTACAGGCAAATCAGATAGTTAAAAAGTTTGTTTTATGGGTTAGATGTCCACATAGTATATCACACTGCTATAAGGATAACTAATGGTTTAAAGAAGTAAGGACTAATAGCAAATCAAAGGATGTGAGAGGGTATAAAATTGTAGAGAAAAAGATTTTAGGGTAGGAAAACTTTGTGGCCAGATTTTGAGCTTTGTATGATCGG